AGTACGAATCTCCTCCAGGAAGCAGTTGGATTCTCGGATATGGTTTAGCATCACAACCAGATAAGAACATTATTCCACAGTCAGGTTGTGTGGAAAGAGAGAAAGGAAAGCTCAGGTCAGTAAGATTTTCACATGAAAAGGACATTGGACAAGTTGAATCATTTCTGCCCTTTGCCTGAACTAAGTAACTGATCAGAAAAAAAGATATAAAAGAAGTGAAAGTCATATTAAATCCTCCCACTGATCTAGCAAAAGTATCCTCCTATATTATGAATTCAGTTGTTCACTGCACTTATGCTTTTAAGAGCACAGTGAATGTGGAAAAGTTGTTAAAACGTATATTAGGGGCTGTGAGGAAATTTTCAAAGCACCTTATTGTCAACAGAAAGACTTGAAAGTCATCTAGCAATAACTAGACTACATTTTCAAGCATAGTGAAAGAAAATGACTTGATATGTATCCAGGATGGCTTCATTTTAAGATATTCCCTCAGTCCCAAAAGGGCTTTCAAAATATTCATTTGGCCCATGGGCTAACTTCGGTCAAGTCTTACGGGCCGGTTGGCTTTCTTGGGCTGGGCTAAAAGGCCTCGGTCTTTTCAATGGACTCAAATAAAATTTAGTTCAGCCCTTACTCTTAAATAAAGGGCTAGGCACCAAGCCATGATAGCATAACTTCAGCTAACAGATGAAACAAGTCACTACCATTTGATTTTTCTGCTGTATTTGCTGCCAAAGGACAGCTACTAGGAAGAGGAAATCCTGGATAATAATTGACTGATATGTTATAGTATATGAAACTATCACATGTTAGAGTGAGTCCCAAATTTGGTTGGGGAATGGACCTGTGGTCCCCTTATATGGACTTGGGCAATCCTCCCCTCATGAGCTAGCTTTTGGGGTTGAGTTAGGCCATTTACCATATCTTTACATGGTATCAAAGTCAAGTCTTGGGTGTGAAGGAGGTGTTAGAGTGGGTAAAAGTCCCACATTGGTTGAGAATTTTTTATCAAAAATCTGGCAACTTCGATTCTTCAAGAATGTTTCAAGAACGGGTCCTTAAGGTTGACAAAAACATGCTGAAACCTTTTGTACTAAGAAACATCAATATCTTGTTTTAATAAAGATGTAAATATAAAATTTGAGTTTTCTTTCTTAACCCAAACAAGATCCAAAATTAGAATCTTACTTAGCTTGCAACAGTCTAACGGTCTTACCGAGATCCAAACTGGTAAATAGCACAGATGAAGAGATAGGATATCCATTTTAACGGTCTCACAGTGGTCAAGGGTATTAGTTCTAGTCTCCTTATTTGATCTTGGAAAGATCTCATCACATATGCTAACTTTTGGGGTTGAATTAGGCAGTATATCCCAATTGGGCTAACCAATAAGGTAATCCCATTATCAAATTGTCTGGAAATTATCTATTGCCAGACATATGCTGAACAGGTAAAATGAAAAGCACTAATCAGGTTTGCTTATTATGCTGACATTCCTCTAGGCAAATCACTCTTCATTTAGCATTAACTGATTAAGAAAAGCATGAATTTACAGCTTCTTACATTCAAGGACATCTAAACACATCAGAAACCGAACCTGTAACAGTACCAGTTTTTGCTACAATTCCATAACAAAATGTGACTACAGTGATATTAGCTGAGAAATGAACACATAAAGGCTAGGCCAGTTCTACTACTGATGAATCTACCTCTGTTCTTGAGGGAGAATAAAGATAAGGCTTGGGAGGCATTTGCAAAGAGTCTAGTTTCCCTTCTAACATTTCCACAATCTTGCTCATAGATGGTCGATTTGAGGGATCAGTCTGTATACACCATAAACTCACCATCACCATCTTTCTTGCACATTCTTTCTCCTCTTCATTCATTATCCCGATTAGTTGAAGCTCTTCGTCTAGTTCAATTCGTTGATAGATCCAATGTGGAAAGTAGATTTCACTAGTGCGATCAACTCCAACGTCAACATTTTTTCTTCCTCCAACCATCTCTAGGACCATCATTCCATAGCTATAGACGTCAGACTTGTGAGAGACACCTCCCAAGTTTCTGCAAACGATTTCTGGAGCAATATAACCGATAGTCCCTCGTGTGACACGATACTCTCCTGTTTCATGCACAGTTTGGCAAGACCAAAGTCAGAGATCTTCGGACAAAAATCTTCATCAAGCAGGATATTATGAGGCTTTATATCAAAATGCAAAATCCGAGTGGTACAACCACGATGCAAGTACTCCAATCCTCGAGCAATGCCTAGTGCAATTTTGTACAGTATTGGCCAACCCAATTGACGAACACTGTCGGATCTTTCCTCATAGATAAATTTTTCAAGAGATCCATTTGGCATGAACTCATATACGAGAGCTCTTTTGTGACCCTCAAAACAAAATCCCACAAGGCTCACGATGTTAACATGCGATGTTCTGCTAATACCTGCTACTTCATTAATGAAATCTTCACCACTGCCTTTTAGTTTATTCAGGACCTTCACTGCCACTTGACTCCCGTTACACAAACTTCCTCTGTATACATTACCAAATCCTCCTTGGCCTAGTTTGCTTCTGAAGTGACCGGTGATTCTTTTGATGTCTGTATAATTGTATCTGTTTGGAGCGTATGAACTATAGTTCTTTAAGAATGCTTCAACTTTTTGGTTATCCTCAGCATTAGATTCTGAAAACCTGAGGCCCTTGTACCGCATAATCTTTTCTCTGAAGTAGAAAAGTAGAATCAACAGTCCAACAGTTAATAAACCTGTACCTGTTGAAAAAAATGAAGTCATGCACCATCAGAGAATATAAATAGAACTAATTCTGAATGTCTTATGCACTATCAAGGAAGTAGTTTGCCTTTGGGACTATGCAAATAGTAGATATGTACAAAAAAATGCAGTCAGTTATCCGTACGTTGTGTAATCTTAAGTACTTGCCTCTCCAGTTTTTTGAGATTTTACCACAATGAAGAAGAAAATCTAAAATGATATGCATGGAAATTCTGAAATAAGAACAAACTGTTCAGTTATTGTATTCAACTACCTGCTCCCAGAATCAGTCCGAACTTTCTTCTAGTCGTTATTGCATCTAAAAAAAGAGGAAAAATACTATGAAATATTATCAATATTTGATACAAAAATGAGAAAGGACTTTATGAAATACGCACTAGACCTTGAGCATGTGGATTATTTTCTTGATGACCTTGAGCTTGTGGATTATTTGAATATGTACAATGAAATTTGTTGGCTATATCATTCCGGCATTGACCTCCGCCATAGTGACATCGGTAACAGCCCTCAGACAGTTTATATTCTACTAGAAAAGCAGGGCTTAACATATTGAACAAACCAACATCATCTGAAATGGAGCGGATTGGCAATCTGATAAGTGAACAGTTGGCAGGAAGATTGCCTGCTCGAACGTCTTCATCATCATCTCCAGGAAGCTTGTAGTATATGCTAAAACCTTTACAGCCATTGTACATTTTATAACCAGCAAAATGATCATTCTTCTTCTGGGTAATGTTTGGGGTGCTCTTACTAGTGCTGTTGCATTTGAAGAAGTTGACAAAATTCATTGGGACGATTTCAAAAGAAATAGAAGGAGAGTTTGGTAAGAAGAAATATTTGTTAAAAGCCTGGCACTTGTGTTGCATCAACTCGGCATGAAGCTTGGGGTCCCCCAGCTCAACTGTATAATTAAACGGATATCCTAAAGCATAGTACCAATCTCCTTCAGGGAACAGTTGTAATCTTGGAAATGGTTTAGCATCACAACCAGATAAGAACATTATTCCACAGTTGGGTTGTGTCGAAAGAGAGAAAGGAAAGCTCAGGTCAGTAAGATTTCCACATGAAAAGGACTTTGGACAAGTTGAATCATTTCTGCCCTTTGTCTGAACTAAGTAACTGATCAGAAGAAAACTTATAAAAGAAGTGAAAGTCATCAGATCCTCCCACTGTTCAAGAAGAGGAAAAAATATGAATTCAGTTGTTCACTGCACTTGCATTTAATAGCACAGTGGATGTGGAAAACTTATATTAAGGGTTGTGACTTCAAAGACTTGAAGTCATCTTGCAATAACTAGACTACATTTTCAAGCCTAGTGAAAGAAAATGACTTGATATGTCTGGGATGACTTCATTTTAAGGTAACCTATTAACCTATATCAATATGAGTCCACCACACACCACAGGACTAGGTCCTTGTCACACTTTGAAGCAGTAAAAGCTAAAATACAGAACAAAATAACACGGATGTTTACATGGAAACCTCTTTGCTCAAGGAAGGAAAAACCACGACCTGCTCTTCACTATCTTCAAGCAACAAGTGAATACAGACTCCAATAGTCATATGAGGATCAAACTCTTAATCCCTACTACCTGTAACACCTCTATTACAGAATGAGCCAAAGCAATAGCTCTATTGCCCATTATATCAACTAACTCTAGTCTAAGTTGCACCCGTGTCGACACGATATGGGTGTGGGTGTGGGATCCGTGTCCAATTTGGTCAACCAATTTAGGGTACTTTGACCAAAATCGATGGGGAAAGTCCGGACAGTTTTAATGATTTCTGTAATCAATACAAAAGCTAAGGTGAAATTGAAGAATATTGAATACCTTTTATATAGAAATTTCTATGTCACTCCTTTTCCTTTAATCTCATTCCAAGATTCTCCTCATAATATCTCATAATTTAGGTTTTATAACTCTATTTTTAGATATTTTATTTATTTTTAGGCGAATCTCCGCACCCATATCCATACATGGACCATATCCCGAATCTTGAAAATTAGATCATAGAGGATCCGACCTCTAGATCCGCACCCGTGTCCGAGCAACTTAGGTAACTGGACATTTTCATTCTCTAAGTAATTTAATTATTTGTGTACTTCCATACATTACCAGTTTCAAACAAAAATTATTTGTGTACTTCCAAGCACTTCGCTTTCAATCCATTTTGTTGAGATTAAACCACAGAAACATCAAAATGAACTATAGCCAGTCAGGCAAATACACTAGAAGATATGCAGATGGGGACATTTCGAAAGAAGCAACTCAACTTACAATTATACTTGGTGTCATGACCAACAACATGGTCATTCTCATCCACCAGAATACACCTGAAAGAGTCGAAACATGGAAAATTGTTAAACATGGCAAATGGGTTGGAAAATTGTTGCAATGGGGGTCGTTAGGCAGCTAGTTAGAGTTATGCATGTATTAGTAACAAAGGGATTAGTTATGAGTGAAACTATGTTTTATTTTATGCAGGAATCAGTCATTCCACCTTATATCCGGTATAAAATAATACATAAATTCTCTCATTAACTTAAACATATATTAGTCATGCGGATTTCTAAATTTTCAACCAAACTTCGTATTAATTATATACATAAATAACTTATTTCCTATCTACCTACCAAAACATCGTATAAGTTAAACGGAAATTAATACATAAATAACTTGTTTCTTATCCAGCCACTAAACGACCCCTAACTACATAGATCCAGAGAAAGATAAGCTTTTGAAAGAAAGCAGAGGTAATAAGAGTTGTAGAAAGCATATAGCATATCAACTGTCTCAAGATCATCTAAAATTACATATCCCAAGTTAACACACTTGATATACAATGACTTGAGAATCTCAAGGTCACATAAATTTAATTCGTCATTCATTTACAATATTCACCTATCTTGCATCTAAAAAAAAAAACTGATCTCGATTTTCAATTAAAAAGAGCAATTTAGAAATGATAATGAATACGGTTAACTGAAAAAAAGAAAAGAAATTCCAAACCATTTTAGTTGCAGCTCAATTAAACATAAATAGGTATAGGCTACGATTAATAAAGAAATGAGGGATAGGTAAAAGAGAACAAACTCGTCTTCAAACATGAGACGGCGCTGTACGGCGTCCATATTAGCATCAGAAACAGCATCAGCCATAGTTGTAGTAGAGGCGGCGGAATAGCACCGGAAACGACAACGGAGAGAAGAAACAGGTAGGGTATTAGGAAGAAGAGAAGATTTTGGTAGCCGGAGTGAAGAAGGAGAAGTTATATGGGAGGCGATGAACCTCCGCAAGAATTGTAAAGAAGGTGAAGCAGTAGTCAGCGACATCTGCTTGTTCCCATCAATTCCTCTCATTCCTTTTCTTCTGCTTCTCCCCTTATATATATTTAATAACTCTTTTTTTTTTTGGATTTTCTTCTTCTCAACAAAATACCAACCTCTTTAGGCACATAATGTTTTACAATAAAAAATATTAAGTTGATTATTATTTTTTATTTTTTTGGTATGTAATTAAAAATATCTATATATAATCTAGATAAATATTATGGAATGTGAGTTTGTGTGGTAACGGAAATGGGGCTAGAAGCGAAGGTGAAGATGAGTCAGGTGTATGAAAGGAAAGTGTTTTGAAAACAAAAAATATTATCCCAAGATGATTTATATATAATTTAGCAAATATTAGGTAGACGGAATGGAGTGGAGAGTGGTGATTCGGGAATGGTGGGGTTGGGATGGTTATAAAGGGAGGGGAGTTGGGGTGTTTGGTGGGTTGGGAAGAGATAATAAACTTGGGATGTTACTTAGGAATATTTAATTTGTTTTACCTACTTTGATTAAGAAAGTCATTTTTTTTATTTTAAGAAGTTTGTTTTTTTTAAGAATAAAAGTAGATCAACTAAACATGAAAAAATATGTATATGTATGAAGATATGAAGGTTTGAAGAATATATAAAGATTTGAAGGTTTGAATATATGGGGATTTAAAAATATGAAGATATCAATTTTTGAAGATAATATTAAAATTTGGATGATGTCTGCAATTTGTATTAAAAATGTTGTTAGCTCGGCATTAGATTCCCAAAACCTGAGGCACTGGTACCGCAAAATCTTTTCTCTGAAGAAGAAGAGTAGAATCAATAGTCCAACAGTAAATAAACCTGTACCCGTTGAAAAAAATGAAGTCATGCACCATCAGAGAATATAGATTAAACATTGCAAGGAGAAAGGATGTCCTCTCAACTCCACTATCCGTACATTGTGTAATCTAAAGTACTTGTCTCCCAATTTTTTTGAGATTTTACCACAAGGAAGAAGAAAATCTAAATGATATGCATGGGAATTCTGAAATAAGAAAGAACCCTGCAGTTAATGGATACTTAGCTACCTGCTCCCAGAGTCAGTCCCCACTTGCTTCTAGTCGTTATTGCATCTAAAAAAAGAAGAAAAATACTATGAAATATTATCAATATTTGATACGAAAACGAGATAGGACTTTATGAAATATGAACTAGACCTTGAGCATGTGGATTATATGGATATGTACAGTGAAATTCGTTGGTTATATCAGTCTGGCATTGACCTCCGTCATAGTGACATTGGTAACAGTCCTCAGACAGTTTCCATTCTACTATAAAAGAGGCGCTTAACATATTGAACAAACCACCAGGATCTGATATCGAGCGGACTGGTAATCTGATAAGTGAACAGGTGGCAGGAAGATTGCCTGCTCGAACTTCTTCATCATCATCTCCGAGAAGCTTGTAATATATGCTGAAGCCTTTACAGCCATGGTACATTTTATAACCAGCAAAATGGTCATTCTTGTGGGTATTGTTTGGGGTGTTGCTACCAGTGATGTTACATTTGAAGAAGTTGAGATTATTCAAGATTTTGAAAGAAATATAAGGAGAGTCTGGAAGGGAGAACTTTTTGTTAAAAGCCCAGCACTTGTGTTGCCTCAACGTGGTTTGAAGCTTCGGATCCACGAGCCAAACTGTATAATTATATGGATTTCCTAAAGCATAGTACCAGTCTCCTCCAGGAAGCAGTTGGATTCTTGGATATGGTTTAGCATCACAACCAGAGAAGGGCAGTATTCCACAGTCAGGTTGTGTGGAAAGAGAGAACGGAAAGCTCAGGTCAGTAAGATTTCCACATGAAAAGGACTTT